AAGTTTTGGAATGATTTGGACTCTTTGGTTCTTGGTTTAGAATCTTAAGTTGGAAATATTGACCTATGTTTGACTTTTGTGAAAACGGCCCCAAAACGGTGTTTTGATGGTCCCGATTGGTTCGTATTATGATTTTGGAATTGGGTGCATGCCCAAAATTGAATTCGGATGTTCCTAGGTTGATTTGACTTGTTTTGCCGAAATTTGGCAATTTGAGGTTTAGGAATTTCCTTAGATTTGACCATAGGTTGACTTTATGGCTATCGAATTCGGAATTTGGTTTTGGGACTTGGAATAGGTGCGTTTTACTATTTTGGAACTTGTCTACAAAATTTGGTATCATTCAGAGGTGGTTTGATAGGATTCGGACGCTTGGTTGTGATTGTAGAGGTTCTTGAGTATTCCTTTTGAATTTCATGCATTTTGATGTCCGATTCATGGTCCTGGATATTATTTTGGTTTTTTGATCATGCGACCAAGTTCGTATGATATTTTTACACTTTTGTGGATATTTGGTATAGAACCCAGAGGGCTCGGGTGAGTTTCAAACGTGTTTTGGATCGGATTGAACACATTTTTAGGTTGATGGTGTGTTGGCACTCCAGTTATCGCAATTGTGAGTGCTAGAACGAAGTGGACAGTAAGGGGAAAGTATTTTATTTGCGATGTCTTACTCGCAATTGCGAAGTAAGGCTTGGGCTGTGAAGGGAGCTGACTTCCTATTTGCGAAGTCAGTGTTGAATTTGCGACATCTCCCTGGGCTGTCAGGTGCCGCATGTGCGAGCTATTCTTCGCATTTGCGAACCCAGGGTCGCAATTGCGACTTCTGCACCTGAACATAAGGGCTGAAAAAAATGGGATTTGGTCTTATTTTCATATTTTGGAATCCTAGACTCGGCCGGAAGCGATTTTCAGGAGGGATTTTTATATACAACTATTGGGTAAGATATTTTGATCAACTTTCAGATATAATACATCATGGGATTTAACATCAAATTCATGAATTTCTAAGAGAAATTTTGGGAAATTTGGTGTATGTTTTGAAAAATAAAAATTTGAGATTTAAGAGTCGAATTGGACATGGATTTGAAAACAAAATACATATATCAACTCGTGGGGTTATAGGTAGTCAAGATCTATCCTTGGATTTGGGTTTTGATAGGGTAGGCCATGGGTTGACTTTTGGTGTATTTTAGGAAATTGTGTAAAGATCTTAGCTTTATTAATCGAAATTGATTTCTCCTGTATTGTTTGATGATATTAAGTCATTTTTGGTTATATTTGAGCCGTGCGGAGGCGAATTTTAAGGGAAAAGCTATTTTTGAGTATTGATTTGGCCTAGTTTAGGTAAGTATCTTTCCTAACTTTGTATGGGGGAACTACCCCTTAGGATTGGGTTTGATTGTACTATTTGAATTATGTGAAAGACATGTACATGAGGTGACTAGTGTGTACACGGGCTTATATGTGAAAATTGACTGATTTAGACTCTCAGGTTATTTATAAGCATTTAATTGAAATTGATATCATTTGCCCTATCTTTCGTTGTCAAGTTTATTCGTACAACTCTAATTGAAGTTGTTATTACATGTTCTATTTTCCATTGTCGAGGTTACTCTTATATTCATTTATTAGTAGTTGTTATTACATTCTATATTTTCCACTGTTGAGTTATTCTCATGCATTTAGTCGTAGTTGCTACTTCATTTTATCTCTTTTATTGTTGAGCTTATGTTATGCATTTGAAATTGAAGTTTCCATATCATGGAAATATCTTCATTGTTGAGTTATTGAAGTTATAATTGTTGAAGAGATATTAATATTTTATGATTGAAGTTGTTGATTATTGGAATATCTTTCCTTGTTTGAGTTATTTCCCGTCTAATTTATTGTTATTGAGATTCTTGTACACATTGTGGTTGAGCCATGGGCTATGTGTTGTGGTGACATTGGTATTGTTATGGCAATGTTGTGGCATATGGGCACGTTGGTGCGAGATGATTATTGAGTTGTGATATTGATGCGCATGCGGCGGTATAAGGGTGGTGTATTGATGCACATGCGGTGAGATAAGGTGGGATTTATACGCGTGTTTCTCGTAATGGAATTACTTAAAGCCACGCGATGAGATAAGGGGGCTAAAGCGCGTAAAGCTATTTTAGGAAAAATATTTTTTAAAAATATATGCAAGGCTCACGCGACAATATAAGGAAGATTGTGCTTATGTTTGTGAAATGTGAATATGAGGTGTTGCCTCAGTGTGATTCTTGTCCTACATTCTACATTGGAAAGTCTTGTTGATTTGAACGATTATTGTTTTGTTTCCTTACCTTATTTTATTCGTATTTTTATCGTAATTAGTTACTTGTTGTCTTTATCATATGTACACTCTTTGTTGTCATTTGTTGCCATTATTTCCGTTGTTAGTATTATATTGATAAATTGCTTTATGGTCATTTATTGTCGTACTTCCCCGTTGTTAGATTATATTAATATTCTGCACAAGCTTCTATGTCTAGTAGGTGTCTTGACCTGACCTCGTCACTACTCAACCAAGGATAGGCTTGATACTTACTGGGTACCGTTATGGTGTACTCATGCTACGCTTCTGCAGATTTTTGTGCACATCTAGGTACTTCTGCTCGTGCTGGACGCCAGTGAGTTGACCCAGATATTTCAAAGACTTCAAGGTATACTTTCTTGACGCTCGCAGGCCTCGTAGTCACCTTCTAATGATCTTATGCTACTGTTTCTTTTATTTCCGAACAATATTGTATTAGAGATTCTTAATATATATCAGTAGAGCTTATGACTCAGTTCCACCGATTTTGGGGTATTTTGACTGTTGTTCCATTTTGGTTTCATAATGATATTTTATCAGTTTAATTTAATGTCTCAGTCGTTATTTCTGCTAAATTCTCAATGTGTGTTAGGCTTACCTAGTCTTAGAGACTAGGTGCCATCACGACTACCTAAGGTGGAATTTTGGGGTCGTGACAGGTTGGTATTAGAGCTCTAGGTTCATAGGTACTACAAGTCATAAGCAAGTTTAGTAGAGTCTTGTGGGTCAGTACGGAGACGTATGTACTTATCTTTGAGAGGCTACAAAACTATTAGGAAATTCCACTTCTTTGATTTTTTATCGTGCGGATTTGTTGATTTAGAAAATCTGAGCCTTTGTCTTTCCATTATCTAACGGATGGTGAGGTCACACACTGATAGATAAGATGATCAGACACTCGCACCCCCTGCTAGAGCCGCGAGAAGCCGGGGCCGGGGCCGGGGCTGAGGAGGGGCACGTGCTGCAGCTAGAGCACCTGCCCGAGCACTGACTGAGGAGCCACCAATAGCTCTGGTTGGAGGACATGCACCCGAGGTACCTGTTGCTACCCCTGTACTCTAAGAGACCCTAGAACACTTTCTGAGTATGTTCTGCACTTTAGCTCGGTTGGGATTGATCCCCGTTGCACCAGCTACATCTCACGATGGGGAGGAGCTCAGACTCCCACAACCCGTACTCCAGAGCAGCGGGTCCATGTTGATCAGGTTTCGGGAGTTATGCCAGCACAACTTGTTATTCCGGTTCAGCCTGAGGTCAGGCTAGAGGCATCTGAGGAGAAGCAGAGGAGACTTGAGAGGTTCAAGAAATATGACCCTCCTACTTTCAGTGGTGCAGTTACCGAGGATGTACATGGTTTTCTAGACAAATGCCACCGTATTCTTCACTCCATGGGCATTGTGGAGGTGAGTGAAGTTGCCTTTACTACATTTCAGCCGTCAGGGGCATCATATATGTAGTTGCAGGCTTTCTAGGGGGTAGGCCAGCTGATGCCGCACCACAGACATGGGCTCCATTTTCAGATATGTCTTTGAGGGAGTTTGTTCCCTAGACACTCCGGGATGCATGGCGCACAGAGTTTGAGCAGCTGTGCCAGGGTACTATGACGGTGTCGTAGTATGCCATCAGGTTCAATGAGTTGTCCCATCATGCTTTCGCTTTGGTTTCTACAGTTAGAGAGTGAGTTCGCAGATTTATCGAAGGTATCAGTTATGGTCTTAGATTTAGCATAGATCGAGAGTTAGAGACGGATACTCTATTTCAGCAGGTTGTGGAGATCTCTCAGAGGATGGAGCGTATGCGTGGACAAGAGAGGGAGGATAGGGAGGCCAAGAGGCCTCAAGACTCTAGAGGATTTAGTGGTGCCCATGCCGCAGTTTCAGCTCATCATGGCAGAGGTTATGTGAGTTGAACAGTTCATTCAGCACTTCCAGCTACTCGCAGTGCTCTTGCTATTCTGAGGTCTCAGGTTGCCTACTGGGGACAACCACTTTCCAGTGCATGTCCTGCACGGGGTGTCTTTAGTGGTTAGTCTAATCGATCATGTTAGACTTAATTTCAGCATCCACGCCCGTGGAGAGGTTGCTTTAAGTGTGGTGATACTAGGCATATGGTGAGGTACTGTCCTAGACTTAGGAAGGGTGCACCTCCACAGACTACACAGACTCCACGGATTACACAGGGTTCACAGACTATGGTTGCTGCTCCAGTTGCCGCTCCACCTGCACCGCCGACTAGGGATGGAGGTGAGGCGGGTAGAGGTCTCCCTAGAGGGGGAGGCCAGGCACATTGCTATGATTTTCTGGGTAGGACTGAGGTTGTTGCATCTAATGCTATCATCACAAGTATTGTTTCGGTATGTCATAAGGATGCATCAGTTTTATTTGATCCAGGTTCCACTTATTCATATGTGTTATCTTACTTTACTTCGTATTTGGATATATCTCGTGATTATTTGAGTGCTCCTGTATATGTGTCTACGCCTGTAGGAGATATCCTTGTTGTAGACCGTATGTATCGGTCCTGTTTAGTCATTATCGAGGGTTATACGACCAGATTTGACCTTCTGCTACTCAGTATGGTGGATTTTGACATGATAGTGGGCATGGATTGGTTGTCTCCCTATCACGCTATTCTAGACTATCACGCCAAGACTGTGACAATGGCTTTGCCAGGGTTGCTGCGGTTGGAGTGGAGAGGATTGGATTATATTCCTAGCAGGGTAATGTCCTTTCTAAAAGCACATCGAATGGTTGAGAAGCGATGTGAAGCATATCTAGCCTTTGTGAGGGATGTTAGTGCTAATACTCCCACCGTTGAGTTAGTTTCGGTAGTGAGAAATTTCCCAGATATTTTCCAGCAAACCTACCGAGCATGCCGCCTGACAAGCATATCGATTTTGACATTGACCTGGTGTCGGGCACTGAGCCCATTTCTATTCCACCATATCATATGGCACCAATGGAGTTGAAGGAACTAAAAGAACAACTTCAGGAGTTGCTTGATTAGGGTTTCATCCGACTGAGTGTCTCACCTTGGGGTACTCCAGTTCTATTTATGAAGAAGAAAGACGGCTCTATGAGGATGTGTATTGATTACAGGTAACTGAGCAAGGTTAAAATCAAGAAAAAATACCCACTACCGTGTATTTATGATCTATTCGACCAGCTTCAGGGTGCTCGGATATTCTTGAAGATTGATTTGAGATCGAGGTACCATCAATTTAAGATTCGGGATTCAGATATTCTGAAGACTACTTTCAGGACTCTCTATGGTCACTATGCGCTTTTGATGACGACATTTGAGCTGACCAACACCCCAACATCATTCATACACTTGATGAATAGTGTATTCCAGCCATATCTTTATTCTTTCATCATCGTGCTCATTGACGACATATTGGTGTACTCTCGCAGTCGGGGGGATCACGAACTGCACTTGAGGATCGTGCTTCAGACCTCGAGGGAAAAGAAACCATATGCTAAATTCTTCAAGTGTGAGTTTTGGCTTGATTCAGTGGTGTTTTTGGGCCATGTGGTGTCTAATGAGGGGATTAAGGTGGATCCAAAGAAGGTAGAGGCAATTCAGAGTTGGCCCAGACTGTCTTCTGCTACTGAGATCCAGAGTTTTCTAGGCTTGGTTGGTTATTATCGCCATTCTGTGAAGGGTTTTTCATCCACAACCCCTTTAGCCAGATTAACTCAGAAGGGTGCTCCCATTGAGGTGGTCCGATGAGTGTGCGAAGAGCTTTCAGAATCTCAAGACCACAACTCCAGTTCTGGTTTTTCCTTCAGCATCGGGTTCATATACAGTTTATTGTGGTGCTTCGCGGATTGGAATTGGGTGTGTCTTGATGCAAGAGAGTAGAGTTATTGCTTATGCTTCGCGTTAGTTGAAGCCCCATGAGAAGAACTACCATGTTCATGATTTAGAGTTGGCAGCCATTATTCACGCATTGAAGATTTGGAGGCACTATCTCTATGGCGTGTTTTGTGAGGTATTTACAGATCACAGGAATATACATCACTTGTTTAAGCAAAAAGGTCTGAACTTGAGGCAACGGAGGTGGTTAGAGCTATTAAAGGACTATGATATCACCATTCTATATCATCCTGGGAAGGCCAATGTGGTGGCCGATTCCTTGAGTAGGAAGGCTGCGAGCATGGGGAGTCTTGCTTATATTCTGGTTGGATAGAGACCGTTAGCATTGGATGTTCAGGCTTTGGCCAATCAGTTAGTGAGGTTGGATGATTCGGAACCTAGCTGCATTCTTGCTTGCGTGGTTTCTCGGTCTTCTTTGTACGAGCGCATCAAGGCGTGTCGGTATGATGATCCCCATCTGCTTGTCCTTAAGAACACGGTGCAGTATGACAATGCCAAGGAGGTTACTATTGGAGATGATGGGGCGTTGTGGATGCAGAGCCAAATTTGCGTGCCCAATGTGATTGGGTTGCGTGTGTTGATTCTTGAGGAGGCCCACATTTTGCGGAATTCCATTCATCCAGGTGCTGCGAAGATGAACCAGGATTTGAGGCAGCACTATTGGTGCAAGATAATGAAGAAAGATATTGTAGAGTATGTGGCTCAGTGTTTAAACTGTCAGTAGGTGAAGTACGAGCATCAGAGGCCAGGCGGTTTGATTCAAAGACTTGATATTCCAGAGTGGAAGTGAGAGCGTATCACCATGGATTTTGTTGTTAGACTCCCACGGACCTTGAGAAATTTTGACGTAGAATGGGTTATTATAGACAGACTGATCAAGTCTGCACCCTTAATTTTGATTGGGACTACCTACTCTTCAGAGCAGCTAGCTCATATTTATATCCGTGAGATTATTCATCTTGATGGTGTGTCAGTATTTATTATCTTTGATCAAGGCATGCAGTTCACATCATATTTCTGGTGCAGTGTGAGTTAGGCACACAGGTTGAGCTGATCACGACATTTTATCCCCGGACGAACGGGAAGTCCGAGCGCACCATTCAAATATTGGAGGACATGCTACGTGCATATGTTATGGATTTCGAGGGTTCATGGGATCAGTTCCTACCGCTTGTAGAGTTCGCCTACACTAACAGCTACCAATCGAGTATTCAGATGGCTAGTTATGAGGCCTTATATGAGAGCCGGTGTTGTTCTCCAGTTGGTTGGTTTGAGCCGGGGGAGGCTAGGTTGTTGGGTACTGATTTGGTTTGGGATGCCTTGGAGAAAGTCAAGTTGATTCAGGATCGATTTCGTACAGCACAATCTAGGCAGAAGAGTTATGTTAATCGGATGGCTCGTGATGTGGCATTCATGGTGGGAGAGAGGGTTCTGCTTAGAGTTTCACCCATGAAGGGTGTGATGATGTTCAGGCAGGTACGGAAGTTGAGGTTAAATAATATTGCTTCAGTGAAGGTTCAATAGAGGGGTCAACCGGTCGAGAAGACGACTTGGGAGAGCGAGCATGACATGTAGAGTCGTTATCCTCACCTTTTGGCACTTCAGGTATGTCTCTATCCACGTTCGAGGACAAATATTTGTTTTAAGAGGGGGAGATGTAACGATCTGACCGGTCGTTTTGTGTATTTGGGACCCGTTTCCCCCCTTTAAAGCTTCCTGTATGTGTATTTGTGGTATTATGACTTACGGGGATGGTTGATTTCGTTTTGGGGAAGTTTTGGAATAAGTTGGACTCTTTGGTTCATGGTTTAGAAGCTTAAGTTGGAAATGTTGACCTATGTTTGACTTTTGTGAAAACGGCCCCAGAATGGTTTTTTGAGGGCTCTTATAGGTTCGTATCGTGATTTTGGACTTGGGCATAAATTCGAAGGTTCCTAGGTTGATTTGACTTGTTTTGCCGAAAGTTGGCAATTTGAGGTTTAAGAATTTCCTTAGGTTTGACCATATGTTGACTTTATGGCTATCGGATTCCGAATTTGATTTTTGGACTTGGAATAGGTCTATTTTGCTATTTGGCCCTTGTCTGGAAATGTTTGTGTCATTCGGAGTTGGTTTGATATGATTCAAACGTTTGGTTGTGATTCTAGAGGTTCTTGAGTTTTTCTTTTGAATTTCATGCATTTTGATGTCCGATTCGTGGTTCCGAATGTTATTTTGCCAAAATCCCCAATATTTCTCACTTGGATTCACCAATTAAATGCCAAATTCAAGGATGGAATAAGGAATAATAATCAAATCCGAGTCAAGAATACTTACCCAATCCAAGTGGGTGAAAACGCCTCAAACATCGCTCCAATCCGAGCTCCTGATCTCAAACTATCATAAAATAAAGCTAACTCTCGATAAAATATGTTTTGCTCAGTACTTTCGCTTCTATGACTAGAAATGCTGCTTCCGTGGCATCGCTTTTGCAACAAAAAGCTCGCTTATGCTAGTTTCACTTAACCCCCGACCATTCGCTCCTGCCGGAAATATTCAGCTCCTATGGATCCACACAAAATAACATCAAAACCATAAATCCTAGCTCAATTCAAGCTTAATGAACTAATCCATTTTGAACTTTCAAAACTCATGCCGAACCACGTCGAACCAACTCGGAACAACCTCAAATTTTTCACACAAGTTCCAAATGACATAACAAACTTTTGCCAACTCCCGGGACAACAATCCGAACCCGAAAACACTAAAGTCAACTCCCGGTCTAACCTATGAGCTTTCCAAACCTTCAAATTTCCAACTTTCTCCATTTAGAGCCAAATCAACCTTGGAACCTCCAAATCCAAATACATACATACCCCTAATTCCAAAATCACCAACGAACATGTTGGAATTATCAAAAAACCATTCTGGGATTGTTTACACAAAAGTCAAATCGGGTCAACTCTTATAACTAAAGCTTCCAACCTTGGAACTAAGTGTTCCAATTCAATCCAAAACCTTCCCAAAACCAAACCAACCATCCCCACAAGTTACATAATAATAAATACACATATGGGGAGCATCAAATGGGTAAATGGGGTTCAAATACACAAAATGACCGACCGGGTCGTTACATTCTCCCCCTCTTAAACAATCGTTCATCCTCGAACGATTGTTTAGAATCATACATGGGATATCAAAAATATGAGGGTTTATTATCCTCATATCTTGCTCGGTCTCCTAAGTTTCCTCCTCGACCAGTTGACCTCTCCACTGAACCTTCACCAATGTAATATTCTTCAACCTCAGCTTTCGAACTTGCCTATCCAAAATGGCCATTGTCTCCTCAACATAAGTCAAATCTTTGTCTAACTGCACCGAGTTGATATCTAACACACATGACATATCTTTATAGTACTTTTGAAGCATGAAAGCATGAAACACCGGATGAACTCCCGATCAGCAGGGTGGAAAAGCAAGTCTGTAACCCACCTCACCAACTCTCTTCAAGACATAGAAAGGACCAATATACTGAGGGCTCAACTTGCCTTTTCTTCCGGAACCTCATCACACCCTTTATGGGAGAAAATCTAAGTAGAACCTTCTCACCCACCATGAATGCCACGTCACAAGCTTTGCTATCAACATAACTCTTTTGTCTTAACTGCACTGTACGAAGCCACTCCTGAATCAATTTGACCTTCTCTAAAGCATCACGAACCAAATTTGTGCCTAATAGCCTAGCATCACCAGGCTCAAACCAACCAACTAGAGAATGACATCGCCTCCCATACAAGGCCTCATACGGAGCCATCTGGATACTCGACCGGTAGTTATTGTCGTAGGCGAACTCTGCTAACGGCAAAAACCGATCCCACTGGCCCCTAAAATCGATGACACAAAGCTCTCAATAGTCCTTTAAGATCTAAATGGTATTCTCGGACTACCCATTTGTCTGGGGATGAAATGTCGCTCTCAACTCAACCTGTGTGCCCAACTCATGCTGCACTGCTCTCTAAATATGTAATGTAAACTAAGTGCCTAGATCCGAGATAATAGATACATGTACATAATGCAGGCGAATAATCTCTCTAAGATCCGAGATAATAGATACATGCACATAATGTAGGAGAATAATCTCTCTAAGTATCGGAAGTCATGACCGGAATGAAATGTGCAGACTTGGTCAGTTTGTCCACAATGACCCAATTAACGTCAAATCTACTCAATGTCTGTGGCAACCAACAAAAAAATCCATAATGATATGCTCCTACTTCCACTCTGGTATATCTAGCCTATGAAGCAAACCACCCGATCTTTGATGCTCATAGTTAACCTGCTGACAGTTCAAACACCATGCAACATGCTCAACAATGTATTTCTTCATCCTCCGCCACCATTAATGCTGCTTCAAATTATGGTACAACTTCGTAGAAACTGGGTGAATGGAATACCGTGAACTATGATCCTTCTGAAGAATCAACTCTCTCAAGCCTAAATAACCCATCATTAGCAACATAGATCCGACTCTGAAGCCTAAATAACCCATCATCAACAACTGTAACCCGCCTTAGCATCACTGTGCTACATTGTGTCCTTAAGGACAAGAAATTGGGGATCATCATACCTACGAGCCTTCATGCGCTCAAACAAAGACGATTGAGATACAACACAAGCAAGAATCATGCCACGCTCCTCCAACCTCGTAAACTTGTTGGCCAAAACTTGAACATCCATCGTTAATGACCTCTCCCCAACTGGAATAAAAGCAAGACTCCCCACACTCTCTGCCTTCCTACTTAATATATTGGCCACTACCTTGGCCTTCCCCGAATGATAAGGAATGGTGTTCTCATAGTCCTTCAATAGCTCTAACTATCTTTGTTGCCTCAAGTTCAAATCCTTCTGCTTGAATAGATGTTGAAGACTCTGGTGATCCGTATACACCTTACAAGATATGCATATAAGTAGTGTCTCCAAATCTTGAGCACGCGTACAATAGCTACTAACTCCAAATCATGCATTGGGTAGTTCATCTCATAGGTATTGAAATGGCACAATGCGTAGGCAATCACCCTTTTGTCCTGCATCAATACACACCCAATGTCAATGCGTGAAGAATCACAGTAGACTGTATATGAACCCGATCCTGAAGGCAAAACTAGAATTCGATCTGTAGTCAAGGAAGTCTTGAGCTTCTAAAAGCTCTCCTCAAACTCGTTAGATAACCTATATAGGGAACCCTTCTGAGTCAATTTAGTCAATGGGGTTGCGATAGATAAAAACCCATCCACAAAGAAGCGATAATACCCAGCTAACCCTAGGAAACTCCGGATATATGTAGCAGTAAAAGGTTTGGGCCAACTCTGAACTACCTTAATCTTCTTCGGATCCACCTTAATCCCCTCACTGGACACCATGGGACCCAAGAATGCCACTGAATCTGCCAAGTCTAGAGCACAATCCTCAAATGTTGCTCATGCTCCTCCCTACTATGGGAATACACAAATATATCATCAATGAACACAATAACAAAGGAATCCAGATAAGGCTGAAACACGTTGTTCATCCAATGCATGAAAGCTGCTGGGCGTTGCTCAGCCCAAAATACATCACCAAGAACTAATAATGCCCAGGTCCTGAAGGTCATTTTAGGAGTGTCTGAAGCTCTAATATTTAACTTATGGCACCCCGATCTCAAGTCAATCTTCAAGAATACCCTAGAACCCTGAAGTTGATCAAATATATCATCAATACGTGACAATGGATACGTGTTTTGGATGGTAACCTTGTTCAATAACCAATAATTAATACACATTCTCATAGACTCGTCTTTCTTCTTAACAAACAACACTGGCGCACCCCAAGGTGACATATTAGGCCTGATGAAACTTTTATCTAATAATTCCTACAACTATTCCTTTAGTTCCTTCAATTCCGCTGAATCCATGCAATACGGTGGAATAGAAATAGACTGAGTGCCCGGTGTCAAATTAATACTAAAATCAATATCCATATCCGGTGGCATACCCGGTAGGTCTGCATGGAAAACATTAG